TATTTTCTCGTCGGCCGACCGAGATGAGGATGCAATCTCTTTCTGCGGAACGATTTTAAATATTTTTGCCATCTAAATTTTTGTGAACAAAGAAGAAGGGAGTTTGAAGTATTTGGTGTTTTGAGAAGAACAAGCAAAGAAATTCCAAAACCTGGAAATATAGAGCTTTGGGGAAGGCGAAGAACTATGAAGATTGGAATGAAAAAGATTTGAAGGTAAAAGTTTGAAATAATTAAGAAGGGGATTATTTATAGATTTCACAGTGACGGTTCAAAATTGGCAGTGGCCGATCATCGACTGATGCGCATTTAATACCTTGGTAACTGGACCGACGGGACGTTTGTCACATACGTCACAATCGGGCTCGTCGCAGACGTCATCTAGTCGGAGGTTGAAAAATCATATCGTTACTCGTCACCTTCTTTCCGAAAAATGAGGGGACTATCTGTACACGATCAAAATCGAGTTTGCCCTTCGTATGACTAATCAAGATTGGAGCATGATGGACCGAGGTTCGTCATTTTAATATCGAGCTATGATGTGAAGATTGGAAGGTCGAGCTCGAGACGCTGAGACCGATCAGTACCGAGATCGAGTCAAGGTCGAGCTCGAGACCTAGAGACCGATCAATACCGAGATCGAGTCAAGATCGAGATCGAGACCCAGAAACCGATCAATACCAACCGACCAAGATCAAAATCGAGCCAAGGAACAAAAAAGGCGTTATAGCCGCATTTGGGGAGAGAATCTCGGTTGAAATCACGGCTTGAATCAAGGAAAAGTCAATTAATTAATCTATCATAGGATCTTCATTATGTATTTTTAATTCTATTCAAAATAGGATTCCTCCACTATATTAAGAGTGGCTACCGTTTGTAATAGCCATTGATTGACATACATGGATACAATATACATTCTCACATTTAGATTTTATTGAGATTTACATAACCTCTAGCAAGTATTATCCCTTTTTGGGCTTTGATATTGATTCATCTTGTTCTTTTATCAATCATTCTCTATTCAATTTGGGTTTGTATTCATTCTTTTTTACAGTTAATATTCGATATATCTTTACTTATTTTTCCGATTTGTACTAAGTTATATCGTGTATCCTTAGAACTACGTATAAATTTAACTCTATCCGTTTTCGGGTAAACAACGTTGTTAATTGGACTGCAATTCTGATAATTTAGGGCGCACGCATAAACAAGGTTCCAGTCATCATACTCTAAGATCTTTACTTAATTTTCAGTTAAACCTGATTAAAGTAGGCGTGAGGGCTGATTATTTTCAATAGTAAGGCCATTCGCTCTTGATTATGATAAACCTTAATGGACGTCAGGAAAAGTAATCATTATGGTTGTTTTACATTTTTTTTTTAAACTGAAAAGGAGAAAAAAACATTCTTGGCCTTCTTAATTTCCTGATCAACAATGCATCTAGCTGTGGAGCTACATGTAATGAAAGGTGCTAAACTAGATCTCCTTCATTTGAAAATTATACTATGCAAATAGTATTTAAACAATTTTTTTTATAGGCATGAATTGTTGAATCCCCTTAATATAAAAAAAAAAATTCATATATTGACAAAAGTGTTCAAAAATTGCTTTATGTTTCCGGTTCAAATTCGGGATATGCCGTCTGTCCATTCAAATTTTATGAAAAGATAAAACAGGAAAATATCGTAGAAATGACATCATGTAGCTACTCTAAGGGATTGCTATTGAGGATTAACTAGTGTGTCCTGAATTTCAATTTTTCAATTCAATTTTTTCGAATAAAAGTGTCCTGAATTGTCTTGAAATTAAAATTTTTAATTTAAAATTTTAGGACAAAATAAGTAACGGTTAAATACCTCTACCGAGAATGACTATCTTCCGAAATGGGCCATTGAGCATATTAAGGCAAGATGTAATAGATTAGGAGACACAAGCTTTTGTTTGTAACAAAAACTCCAAATTGAAGGACAATCCTACCATTGCTTTTCACATGGATAACAGTAGTTGATTCCAGTTCTTGCCGGGCCCATGAGTTTATTCTCAAACTTCCAAATCTAAAATAATGAGGGTGAGAACGGAGAGGCATTCATGCACACAAACACATTGCAAAATGATTGACATGGTTACATTTTGAAAAGCATAGTTTTTTATTGGAATGCCAAAATACATAGTTTACTTTTGTGCTTCGCCAATTTATCAAATAACGTGAAAATCACACCCTAATTTTATTGGCCTTAAAAAGAAAAAAAGATATTAAAAATTACAATTAAAATCCATCTTTTTCATCTTCCCATTTTCTATCTTAAGCATCATTGTTGTTGTCACCATAATTGTTTGTGTGAGAAAGTTTCCAACAACACTAAAATTCAACCACACTTTCTAAATAACTAGCCGAAAATAATCGAGCAACAAATTGAGTTCAACAACCCAATAATCAACAAAACCCAATTGAATTTACAAGCTTTTTTCGATACCCCAATAATGGTAGATTCTAGATTTTTTTACCAAACCTTCAATACTATTGTTAAAGCCTTTAAATCTATTAAAAATTTAATGATATTCACAATATATAGACAATAGACCAACAAAAATCGCTTAATTTTAGATGTAAAATTTTATGTTCTTTCAAAAATTCTATTTGGGGAAGAAGATGGGGGGTGGTCTAGGGAAGAAGACCGGAGGGGGAGGGGTTCCTGTGGGGAAGGGAGACAAAAAATGGGATTTTTTACGGGCTTCACGTATTTTTTTTTTTTGTGTAAACACGCAAGTGCTGTTTGGTCAAAAGTAATGTATTTTAGACACACTTTTAAAAGATTGAGTATGTAAAAAAATTTCCGTGAAGGAGGAGTGTATAACAAAGATTTCGTTACAAGGTTGATGGGTAAACTATGTATCCTCCTATTGGAATCTTTCAAGAATTCACATGATAGGAACAGTAGCATCTCTTTTCTTTGTTTCCCATGTGGCATCTGATATCCGCTTTTGAGATCTGATTAATTCGAAATCGCGTTAGAAAATTTCACTTTGAGTCAAAGCACTTCCTGCGAAAAGCGACTCTATTCCGAGAACTTGAATCCGAGATCTCTGGTCAAGGATAAAAAATTACTTATCATCTCATCATAACTTTTGGTGACAATATATCAAGAACTTAAGGAACATCACCCATTCCACTTTGGAGAAACTTAGTTTAAAATGTAATTAAATCCCAATATTCTTTTTTAAAATTCTTTCGTCGTTTCTGATTTTAAAGAAGGGGAACCTTGGAGGAAAGGTAAAGTTGTTTCTGTGTGACCTATAGGTCACAGATTCGAGCCGTGGAATTAACTATTGATACTTGCATCAAGGTAGATTGACTACATCAATTGGTGCGGCCCTTTTTCGGACCCTGCATAAACAAGAAATACTTTGTGCACCAAACAGTTTTTTTTGGTTTTTTATTTTGAAAAGCAAACCAAACGAAAAACAAACATAGAAAATGAAGAAGACATATAGAACTGGTTACACCATAGATAATGACAACTCAACTTAATCGATGAGTATTATGTGGGTTTAATAGTATTACATTGGAAACTAATAAGAGCCAGAGAAACAATTATTTGCAAATTAAAATCAAGTCAACTTAATTGCTTTCGTTTGTAATTAAAGTTGACTAATTAAGAGGCGAATGAAAAAGTCTTGCAACAATAAAACTTCCCCCAATTCATTTTTAGTTATCCATTTTTAATTTTACATTTCTTTTACGAAAAAATATAAATGAAGTATCTATTTTATAATTTTACCCATAATAATGATAGCATTTCCAAAAATCTTGAAATAATATTCAAGGAATGAGTGATTAATGATAAGGGTAAAACAAGAAAAATAAATTATTTTTCTTTTAATTTAGTATAATTGACAAGTAAAAGTAAAAATATATTTTTAGTATATTGGACAAGTAAAATTGGACGTTTTAGGTTTCCTTTGCAATTACTGTATTAAAAAAAAGTTTTGGTTGAAACTTGAAGTGATTAACCAGGGTAGGCCTAGTTGGGGGGCGGGGGTGAGAATGGCCCCATAGACTAAAGACTTTTCGTAGCCGTGATTGATGGGCAATAAAATTCCAAGATTTCTTATTTCACACTCTTTTGGAAGAGTCCTAATTCACATTTTGGCCAATTCTTGGATGGAACATGGGCTAGAAGAGTGAATGTCCCCACAAAAAACAAATGCACACCCCCTTATCTTTTTCTTTTAGTCACTCTCAAGTTTCAACTACCACCTATTAAAGCAAAGCTACACACTGAATAAAAAGTGAAATCCAGTATCTCAGCAACCAAAATTCACCACTCTTTAAGCCTTTAAACTTTTCTTTTCAATAATGTCTCCAAATCCAACTTCATTTATTTTATTTTTTTAACTATGGAGGCACCTTGACTATTTTTAATTAACCTTAATTTCAAGTTATGTGAATTTTTTTTTTTTAATTCGTGCCAAAAAGAAAGGTCTCTTTTCATATTTGAAATAAATTTACCTTTGTGCAAGAATTTATAACTACAAAAAATATATGTGTCTTATTTTACACCACAAGTTTAAAAGTTTTTTTTTCTTTTTTAAATAGGTTCACATAACCTAAAACGGAAGGAGTATATTGGCTAATTCTATTCATCAATATTTAGGCAGCAACAATAACAACAACAACAACCCAGTATAATCCCACTAGTAGGGTCTGTGAAGGATAGTGTGTACGCAGACCTTACCCCTACCCTGGTATAGAGAGACTGTTTTCGATAGACCCTCGGCTCCATCCCTCCAAGAACTCCCCACATTGCTCTTGGGATGACTCGAACTCACAATCTCTTGGTTGGAAGTGGAGGGTGCTTATTACTAGAGCAACCCATCAATATTTAGGCAAATAGAAAAAATTACATAATTTTTTTAATCTCTACGAGGATTTGATACCGTGGTGTTTCATAATTCTGCTCACTTCATTTACCGTTGGACCAATCTCTCTCCAACTTTATTATAAATAACTGCAGTAACCTTCATTTTCAATTCAAGCACACACCTAAAATCAAAGCCAAAAAAAAGGCCATGGACTGGTATTCTTGGCTATGCAAAACAGGGCTAGAGCCCTCTCTAGTTTATGAATATGGCCTAGCTTTTGCTCACAACGAGCTCGAATACGAAGACATCACTTACTTCAACCACGAATTTCTACAAAGCATAGGCATTTCTATAGGCAAACACAGGCTAGAAATTCTTAAACTTGCCAAGAAAGAAAGAGGAGCTATTCCAAATTCTATGTCAAGATTTCTCCAACTGATTAACCGTACAAAGAGGCGTTTTTCCAAGTATATAAGGAATTTGGGTCATAAAGAGGAATTAGCTCTTGCTTTAGTCCCAAAAAGAAATTGCAGTTCAAGATGGAAAACTGCTATGTTGAAGAGGAACAAGAGAGTGGCTGCAGCTAAACAAACAACGTTGTTGCTAACAAATGGGAGTCCCATTTTCATGTCTGATTTAAGAATGAACAGTTTTTCAAGTCCGATGTTGTATGATGATTTCCCTGCTGATGAAAAGGTGGGGGCAGATTATTGGACATCCTCTGCAGTTGAAGAGATCAGGTGGGATGCAATGTTTCAGAATATGAAACCAACTTAATTACTCCAATTTTTTTATTGTAATTTTAATGGTGAAAGATGGATTTTTTGGGTTCTTCCACCAATTTCCTTTACTTTGTTGGGATTTCTGTAATATGGAGTTTGGGTGATTTTAGTTAGGAAGTTTGCTTAGTAATTTTATCTTTGTGGTGTGCAGAAGGAGAAAGCCACCCATGAATGATTAGTGTGTGTGTGTGTGTATCAATGATATTATTTCTATGATTTTACATGTTTATTACCATCTCTTTTTATTGATGCCAAGATAGTTATGACGATGGGACATACCTAGTTATATTAACTGTTATATTACCATATGCAGAACCCATTAATTTATAACACACTATACTCTTTTTGTTTGTGGATAATTTAATGAAATTCATAATATCTATAATCGTGAAATTGTGTTATTCTATAATTGTCACGAGGAAGATATAGAAATGGGGCTCCCATCCTTGTAGTAAAATTGTAATAACTGAATAACTTCGTTCTGGTTTAGTTGATCTTCAACTTAAAACCAGGAAAGTACTAGTATTGTTTGCCATAAACTACTAAAACCCATCATTTGCACACTTTTAATATACTTAGGATATCTAGTTGACAAGCATTCTGCACTTCACTTTATCTCGAACAGGCGCGATCTCTGCCTCTGCCCTTTGGGTGAGCACTCTGGATAAACCTCCCCGTATAATAGCTTGCAAACCACACAGGGATGTAAACCGCACTAGGCAAGCCCTGTGCGACAAGCTCAACCCAGAAAGCATTGAGGGGGGGAAATCGATCCTAGGTCATCCTAATGAATGACCGCCCTCCAAACCAAACCAAACCAACTGGGCAACCCCGAAGGGTTAGATAGCGGATTGTTGTACCGTGGGAAAACAAATTATGACAAAAGTGTATACAAATGCTGGAAATTTTTATGAATGGCCAAATTGGAAATCAGGCAAGTCCTTTTCAATTTTCGAGCAAATCAAAACGAATACTCTGAAATCAACTAAAGTTGCTGCGGCAGGAAAAACATACACATAGGTTAAGAAACAATAAATTAATGGAGTACTAGAATATTAAAATGGCTGAGTTATCCAGCATTGCGCACAAGTTAGGAACTCAAAATCTGTTTAGTAACTTCACCAAATCTTGGAACTCAAATCAAAATCACTTCTTTAAGAATGTAATTTCCTTGTATAATTATCAAATATGAATTTTACTCTCAAATAAAAAAAGGGAGAAAGGTAGAAAAGCTTCAAAATGGAACATCAATAGCTGCGGCCCCAGTATGTCCACTTCTTAGCAGGTTTACCTGATGCGAAGCACAATGTACCTACAGCAGAAGAAAATGACATGTAAGATGATATGGCAAAATGTTTAAAAGAAAACAGTTATACATCCATATTATCCATTTAAAAATGGGTTAAATAAACTTTTTAAAAATGGGTCGAATATGGATAAGAATCATATTATCCACTTAGAAAATGGATAACCAAATGGATAACTAATGAGTTTAACTTTTATATTAATAAAGCCTCAATTTAAGGGTTACTCAAGTTTGGGAGACTAGGAATTCTCCCAAATGTGATCATCATATTCAAGAAGCCATGGATAATATGGATATCCATATTATCTGCCGGATAACCCGGCTTTTATCCGTATTAAATACGGGTCGGGCCGGGCCGGTAATTTATCCGTTATTCAAATCACCCGTTTTTACCCGCTCATACCCGACCCGACCGTTAGCCACCCCTAGATGATGACAATAACACCAAGCCCTTGCAATAGCAGAAACAACAATAAACACTGACAATGCTGCACTGCATTTGTAAGATTAATTTTTTCTTCATTGTTTTTGATGTATTACTCTTAAACAATCTGCAACTAAATAGTACCTTCAGGCAGCTCAGGCTGGTCAAATGGAGAGCAAAGAGTCTTTGCTGCACCCATCTCCCCTTTAGTGCGTGCCTTGACATCTTTCTCGACATCCTACCAGAAAGCAATTATGTGAAACTAATAAATACATGAAATCAAACCAAAACTGGCAATTGAATGCATCACCATAAACCACACATAAGAATGTGCGTCAGGGATTATTTATAGAATGTGCAAATTCATATTATTATTGCAGAGAGAATACCTAACAATAAAGAACGCTACTGACTAAAAAAGAGGATGCAAATTTTATGGGGTAGCCAATTAGAGTTCTCAAACTTCAAGGTACAAACAATTAATAAACAGAGGACATTATCTTTCCATATGTCAGCAAGTGACAGTGTGATTTGTCAAAAGGACAAAGCAAACATTAGAGGTCGGAATTTCATTAATTTTGACAGTGATTAATTTTTTCATTGATTAACCCCAGTTCATCAGAATTTAATGGGTGTTCACTTCACCTAAAACAAGAATTTGAAGGGTGTGTCACTTACCTAAAGATAAGAATATGTGACAGCTTATAAAATATCGTGCATTATACATGAAAAACATTCAAGGAAAAGCTAGTTCTAATAGTCATGTATCACGTCCCTAGACTAGATCAGTTGACTCCCTAGAAATTGATTCACCGACGAGTCATGATGACAACCCATAAACATCCTGATAAATCACAATCTGCAGCATTTCACATCAGCTGACTCGCCAGATGCAGAGATGTAAACTGCGAGATTTCAGTTTTCCAGCCCACGAATGGAATAAAAGATTCAACTCATATACAACCACTAAGAGGTTAGAAAGGATACATACCTCCTCATCACACCAAGGAGCCAAGACCAATTTCTTTTGGCCCAGTGCTACCGTAAATTCATCCCAAGTTCTTACAATCTGAACGCAGGCATCTCTCTTTTGTTTCGCAACATCAAATAGATTTTGTTGGATAGTGGCGAGCAGATCTTTTAGTTGTTCGACAAGATTATCCATGGGAATATCTGTTTTGGCTCCGTTGTCACGTCGAACAGCTCGTACCTAGGAGTTATATCAATACTTTGAATCAAACAACATAGTTAAACATATAAGTGTATTTTGGCTTCCACACAAACAGTTTAGATCCATAGGACAAATAGTACTCGTTCCTTTTTAACTTTCATAAACAACTGACTACTAGCAAGAAAGTCAAGAAGTTGAATTTTTACCTGGTTATTTGCAAGGTCTTTTGGTCCTATTTCAATCCTAAGAGGAACCCCCTTCATTTCCCAATGAGAATATTTCCAGCCAGGTGAATAGTTATCTCTGAAGTCTGCCTCAGCACGAATACCTGATTCATTCAACTTCTCAACGGTAGCAGCACAGGCATCAAAGATCCCTTGAGTATTTGCATCCTTGTATGGCACAGGAATAACAATTACTTGAGTTGATGCTACTTTAGGAGGTAAGACCAGGCCTTTGTCATCCCCATGAACCATGATCATAACACCGATCTGTCAAAGCACACAAATAAAAAAAAAAATAAAGAGGGTTAACTTGACCTCCAAGGTAAAAAGGCGACGAGACAGTAGCTAAATGGCTCTGAATTCTCACTGTTCTAGTAGTATAGGCCCATGAGTTCTGCCAGACCATAGCCTTCTCTCCCTTCTCATTTTCAAAATTTATCTCAAACATTTTTGCAAAATTCTGGCCTAAACAGTGTGAAGTTGCACCTTGGATACCACGGCCAGTATTAGGGATAAAAGCCTGGCAAATAAATCCGGAAATAATATGAATAAATGGAAGGTAGGAGAATTTCACCAACAATTTACAAAGAAAATACTGTTAGGAACCGCCAAACAATGTCTACACAGATGTGCTCTTGGATACCTCAACTGTAGTCGTGTAGAGTCCACCGGCAAACTTCTCAAGCTCACTTTTCTTTCCCTTACTGACTGGAACGGCTAAAAATTCTTCATATATACGTCTATACAATTCCAAGATATCAAGAACCTGAATCAAATATATACGCAAGATCACCATTTCCGAAAAAAACCATATCTGTACAAGCAAAAAAAGTCTGAACTTGAACAAAGATGTGGGAAGCAGATAGCAGCAAGTCTTTTCTGGGCCAAATCAAGGAACCTCAGTTCCAAGCAACTAATTCTCACAGAAGCTTGTCCACTAATTTGCTCATATAATTATTCAACAACAATACAAGATAAGAAGACTATTAGAAGAAAACGAATGCAAATGGGGAAGGATAAGCCAAAGAGAAACATAAAGTAGTCTCAACTGATGTTTAAGTGGCAGGCAATGAAATACAAGTCACAACATACTTTATCCACGGGACAATAATGTACCAATGTAGATCTGCAAATGTTGGAACAGACAATTTCCAAAACTATAGCCGACCCGACCCAAAATTTGATACCAGTTCCAAGGTAGCATATAATAAATGAAGGTAGCTTATTTGCAAGTTGTGATACTAACCCCTAATATTCTAAAGTAATAGGTCATATCCCTTTCCTTATGCAATCAGACAAATAATCTCACTTTCTGAGAAAGCTGCAATCTGATCCATTCTTCACTTTAATATAATTTTCACCAATTAATCCTAATAAATAAAAGAGCAAAAAATGTGATTTATCCATGTTCTCCCATTTGAAACTAAACCATACACACTGTCAATTTTTTCTTATAGTTGTAGGATTATTTCAAAATATCTTTGATTTAAAGCAGAAAACCATATGACTCACATATTAACTTCCAGTTCTTCCAAAGGCCTAACTGATAGTATGAGGTAAATAAATGTCAAAGCTCATCAATATCCCAATTATAAATTTAATCAATGAAGAGAAGAAAACTATATAGCCCCATTACTAATCACCCGAAGCAGCTGTAGAATTCCGATCTCCCAAACCTCACTTTCTCTTCTCTCACTCCGGAAAAAAAGAAGCAGCAAAATGCCATGTTCCTTAAGTTCCTTGCTCCGGCATTAGTATCATCCTAAGTTGCTCAGACTCGGGTGCGGGTGTCCGATACGGTTCGGATCTAAAGGTTAGATCCTTCATAATCCAAATTTTAAGATTCAGGAGTATGAATCCAGGTACAGATACGGGTGCGAGGATTCGGCTAAAAATAATTCAAATATCTAAAAACAAAGTAATAAAAATATGTCTAAATTTGAGATATTATGTTGGATAACTTACATTATATTCTAGGAGAGAGAAAATATTGATTAAGAGGAGATCCGAGAAGGAGATAAAAGGAAAAGGACTGACATATTTCTACATACAAGGTATTCCATTTTCTTCAATTTCACCCTAGCTTTTATTTTGATTTCAGAAATCATTGTATCTATCCCGAATTTCTCCATCGATTTTAGTCAAAGTACCCAAAATAAGTTGACCAGATCCGGTACGGATCCCGCATCCCACACCCACACACATGTCGTGTCAACACGGGTGCGGCACCGAAAGTGGAGAGTCCAAGTAACTCAGGTATCATCTTCATTTCCTGGAGACAGGCACCGAGATCATCTAATGTCAAGACACGTTAGAGGTCAGTCCTTGTAACTTGGACTAAATGCTGAGTTGTTTGTACTAGAAGCGCCTAGTTCTGTCTGGATAAAAAAATCAACTATAATTCTCCCCATAAAACAAACAACGATAGGCAAAAAATAATATTAAATGGATAATATCAACACTGGAAAGACTATTTAGCATCATGCAGCAAATATAACACAGACAAAGACTGAATTGGAAGATTCACTGTAAAACTATCTTTTCTTGAAGTGGATTCACCGTAAAACTATCTTAAAGAGTTAATATATCGCTATCTACATCAGATGCACTCAAGCTAGGCACTACACTGGTATTTAGATGAAGCTCAATAAGAGGTACAGTTATTGTTTTAAAAGAGCTTTAGTGGCTGATATGCATACTCCAAGNCAGATGCACTCAAGCTAGGCACTACACTGTGGTATTTAGATGAAGCTCGATAAGAGGTACAGTTTTTGTTTTAAAAGAGCTTTAGTGGCTGATATGCATCCTCCAAAAATACCCGTATACCTCTGTATCTGCTTCCTCCTTTGTTGCAAAAGCAGTGTGTCCTTCTTGCCAGAGAAACTCACGACTCCTGAACAAGGAACATAAGCAAAACATTACCAGACCATCTCGAAGGCCTCACTCGATTTGGGATTAACATGTAGTTTCTGTCATATAAGCTGCAAGCATTCGCTTGCACTTGAAACACATTAACATGTCCACAAAGGAAATGTAAAAGCTGTAAGACAAAAATAAACTCAAAAGGGCACCTGATGAAGGGGGTAGGGTTGCTAAACTCCCATCGTACAACATTGCACCACTGGTTGAGTCTCAAGGGCAAGTCACGATGTCCCCTTATCCACTTAGAGAAGTATGGATACATCACTGTTTCACTAGTTGGTCGAATTGCAATGGGTACTTCCAAATCAGATTCACCAGATTTCGTAACCCAAGCAACCTGAAGAATGATATAAACCCATTATGGGCATAACTAATAATAAGTCTATAACACAATCCACTCCCATATTTTGTAACAGAAGCACTCTGAAGAATGATCACAGCCCATGATAAGCAACTTAGCACAGTTATCAAAATGCAATGGAACAACACATTGCACAAGTGATGATATCAACTTAACACCATGATACGATACTTGATACCACAATGAAGTTATTACTGAAGTTAAATCCAAGACTAAAGATAATTAAAAAAAAAATATCGCTTCTCAGAATCCTAGGTGGCCCAACTTCATGATGACTTTCTAAACTTTATGATGATGAAATTTAAAAAAAGAAAGGCAAAGCCCTGCCACAATTAAGTGCTATGATCAGCAATAGGCGAGATGAGTAACAGGAGGAAAAATTTTCAATTATAGATACTTTTGAAACCTTCAGGAAACTTCAGCAATCAAGGTACAAAAGCAGGAACGTAAGGAAAATGTGGAGTCAACATATATTTAGAAGACATTATACAAACTTCTTATATGCTTCACAGGCTAAAAGCAGATAAACTTGACTCTATAACGCTTAAGTTAAAAAAGTGCCAAAGTCTCACCTCAGGAGCAAATCCCTCTATGTGGTCCTTTTCCTTTTGTAGAACACCAGGGGACACAAACAGAGGAAAGTAAGAGTTCTGTATCTTCATTTTCTTAATTTCAGCATCAAAAAACGCCTGCACATACAGAGCTAAGAATCCATTGTAAATGTCCTCAAATGATAAGCAGCACGAGAAAAAGAAAATCATTTCATGGTCAAGCTTACCTGCAATATCTCCCAGATAGACATTGCCCATGGCCGTAGAATATAACAGCCAGATATGTCGTAGTACTCGATCATTTCACCACTAACGACAACCTATGTTCATATGTTTAAAGTCAAAATTTTCATATATGATGAGAACGGACTTTTTCATATAAAATAGAATACATAAAGCATCTATAGAGAGAGCAGAAATTTAAACAAAATGTATCAGCGAAACGGAAAGCAGCTGTTGAAAAGGCGTGTATGGGCTTTGCTAGTTTGATGTGTGGGTAAGAGCACGCCACGGGTTCGAATAGACAAAAGCCTGGTATTTAAGTGGAGTAGGGTAGAGGGGCGGGCCCATTATCCACTGAGTTTCGAACTATGCGCCCCTGGGGATTTCTCGGCTAGGAAAGAATTGAGAAACGAGAAATCCCCCGGGCCAAAATTATAAGGAAAAAGGACGGAAAATAAAATGACAAGGAAAAACATAGAAGTTTGGTTAAACAAAATTCCGCCTATTAAAACACTGGACAAAGAAAGAATTGAGAAAAGCATTCAGTAGCAGAAGAAAATTGGTGAATCTGTGAAATCGGACAAGAAATACGGAAAAAAACAGAGAAGAAAATGACGACGAAAAAGAAAGATGTTTGGCTAAACAAAGCCCCCCATCCCCAACCAATTGAACGAGGCCCCTATCAATCCGAACTTGTTAAGTTCCCAATGACAAACAATAGACAAATATAAGGAAAACAAAAATATTAGAAAAGAATGAAAAGAGGAAATTGGAGGCCTCACAGCTCAATCAGATTGTTCCATCTTTCTTGTTGCACCAAAGAAACTTACCGCAGATACATCGTCCAATAATGAACAGGTATATATTATCAAATTTGATAGCTCATATAATTGAATGTTCCAAGCATACCTCAGAATACCACTCTCCAAAATTTTCATCCTTTTTGTAAGAGAGACCAAGACCTGTCTCTTTCTTAACTTCTTTCTTTTTTCCCTGACCAAGACCTGTCTCTTTCTTGACTTCTTTCTTTTTTCCTTCTGAAGAAAGACAAAAAAGATGTATTAGACAAATCAAATAGAGTAGCAAGTTTTTCTAAAGGAGTATGATGGAGCATGAATACTTACTATTTGAATCTTTACTGGCCATGATAGCAGGCTTCAAAATTAAGGATACACCCAACCAATAGCCAAAGATAGCTGCTTCATAAATGAAAGTTCAACGATCAACTAGTGAAATGATAATCATCAGCTATTTCTCTTTTCTTACTGTATTTATTTGATCAGCACCCCAAGAAGATAGACCCCCCCC